TGAAGGCAGTTCCTCTTAATAGAGATTTAAAGGAACTTATAGTATGGAGAATTATAAACGGAACGGTGATAGATATCGTCAATGATTACATGATTAAACAAGAGCTTTATGAAAGATTTTATTGTAATGAAGTTTATAACCTCTTGAATGATTAAAAATATAACCTCTTGAATGATTAAAACTAAATGCTATGTTTGCAGGATGGATCCTCCTTGGATAACCAAGGCTAGAGGAAAGGGCAGTTATACTCGCGGAAGGGGAAGATCATCCCCAAGTTCATCAAGATGATATTTCTCTTAGAAAACTCTGACATACAGAGAAAAGAAGAACCTTGGAAGATATAACAGAGGTATTTAGTTAATGGGCTTTATTTCCCGGGTGAGTCATACAAAACTCGGAAAGATTTTGAGACTCTGCTGATAAGCACAGGTGTTGAATTTCAACATTTTTCAGGATATAATACAAGTTAGAATGTTTATAACTTCTTTAAAATGATTATAAAACACGTCATTCATATTGAAGATTGGGGTATTTCCTCTATGACTGAAAGACAATTCAGTCTGAACAAAGTCACGGTAAGCTTTACCTATTGGGATTATATTCAGACATTTAATAAAGTCCTATGTTATAACAATGACAAGAATAAACATACTTGGTTTATAAAAGTATGTGCCACGGTATTTGCTAACCCTATACCAAATTGGTTTTTAAACTGGTGGTCATACCACGGGCCAACCATAAAAATATTGCCCGAACCATTTCTCAAGTTTTTACAAAGAATGGGTCAAGATTTCCCCAGATCTCAACAAGTTGTATCATCAAGAACATATTTGTTATTTTCTAACAAATTGAACAGATATATTTTTTTATAGAATTCTCTATTCCATGGATTCATAAATGGGTTTCGGAAGTAGATTTCACTGAGAAACAAATCTCTTGCCTATACAGAACTTATTATAATAATTTTTGGGATAAGTTGATGAAGAAAGATCCTCAAATGAAGTCTATACACGGACAAGAACTGTTGGATGTAATAACGAAAACCATACACGATTATAAATCGATTCCTAATGAAGGAATTATGACTAATGACTCAACCTCTGTAAAACATATGGCTAGAAAAATTTCTAATCATGATGAAGGAGAACAAAATGAAATGATTATGAAGTATTTAGAAGAAGTAAAGAAGAAGATTCTTCTAAATATATGTCATTACGCAAAATCAGATTCATCAATGCGTAGTGAAACAAGTGAAGATGTGCACGAAGCAAAACCATATGAAGAAGAGACACCAGTGGATGCACCGAAGAAAGCCGAAGATATTTTGGCAAAATTAAAAGACAAGATGTAAAAAGAAGTGTTAAGATTATCCGCGTCGGTAGCAGGCCCGCACTACAGTAGCAACACTGTTCACCTACAGTAGATACACTGTTCACCTATAGTAGATACACTATTACCAGGACCCAGATAGGGGCCAAGTATCCTGTACAAAGATGCTTTCTTTTTTTCTATAAATAAGTTTGTTTTTCTTTAATTCAGAGCAGGTTTTAGAAACCCACTCTTCCCTTTTGCACTCTCTCTCTTGTAAACTTTTCTTACTAAGTATTGTAAGCTTGCCGGATTTTGGCCGGAATAATAAAGTTTGCGGTTTGGTAACAACAAGGTACTTTCTTTTCTCTTACTACCTGTCTTTTACTTTTATAAATTCTCCGATCAAAGCCGTGACTATGTCCGGCTAAAAATTTATATCTATGACGGATAACTAACTTCTCTTTTATATAGACCATGAACGGATCTAAGCTTTATTTAAATATAGAAGAATTTTAGTATGGCTTCTCGAGTTGGATCTGAGTTGAGGTACAGTCAGATCTAGTACTACTTTTATTGGCTTTGTCTTTGTGACTCCGTCTAATGAGCTGTGGGTTTTAGCCCGAAATTGAGTTTGATAAGTAGGGCGCCTGATACCCGGTTAGAACTATCAGACACATGGGCTCAATAAAAGTATGTATTAGCTTTTTGACAGGCCCTTTTCTTGGGTAAAATAATTAAACCACGCAGTCTGAGAAACTATGTTAAAATTCTTGTGTATTTCGATTCTTATGTAGTTGGACTACCTCTAAGGATATGGACTTGCTTGATCTATGGCTGGGCGGAACACCGCCAGGTCAGTGATCCTATATCGTTTAAGAACGAGGTGTTCCAAGGTTATTTATAAATTATAAACCTTTACATAAATTTTTAAAATGGATTAGATATTCTATTCCAAATAAAAGAGATTTATTAACCAGATTATACGATGCTAATATCTTTCCAAAATTTGATCTAAAATTTGGATACCGGAAAATCCAAATATTTAGAGACCACTCATATAGAATGGCATTTAATGTTCCGTTTGGACAGTACGAATGGAATGTAATGCCTTTTGGGTTAAAAAATGCTCCCTCAGAATTTCAAAAGATAATGAATGATATTTTTAATCCCTATTTGGATTTCATCATAGTCTATGTTGATGATATTTTGGTATACTCAAAGACTCTTGAAATGCATATTAAGCATTTAGACATTTTTAAGAAAATAGTTATTCAAAATGGTTTGGTCATATCTAAACCTAAAATGAGTCTTTTTCAAACAGAAGTTAGATTTTTGGGTCATTTGATTTGTCAAGGAAAAATGACTCTTATTCAACGATCTATTAAATTCGCATCGAAATTCCCTGATATTATTACAGATAAGACGCAATTGCAGCGGTTTCTGGGAAATTTAAACTACATTTCCCTATTCAATAAAAATTTGTCTCGAGATTTAGCTCCGTTATATGACAGGCTAAAAAGGGATCATAATAAGCCTTGGACTAATAGTCTCACAAATCTTGTAAAGACTATTAAAGAAAGAGTTAAATCTTTACCTTGTTTAACCCTTGCTAATCCTGCTTGGCCAAAGATTGTAGAGATGGATGTGTCGAATATTGGGTATGGAAGTATATTGAAACAAATTAATCCGCATGATAAAAATGAATATCTTATTCGATTTCATACAGGAAAATGGAGCGATGCACAGAAAAAATATACGACGATAGCTCATGAAATGTTAACAATCGTTAAGTGCGTATTAAAATTTCAAGATGATTTATATAATCAAAAATTCTTGATAAAAACTGATGCTCAGTCAGTCAAGTATATGTTTGATTAATATTTTAAACATGATGCGTCTAAGTTAATATTTGCTAGGTGGCAGGCACAATAAGCCCCTTTTGATTTCGAAATTCATTATAAAAAGGGAAATGATAATTCCCTCCCGGACTTCTTATCAAGAGAAT